TGGCCATGTGAGTGAGTACAGTCCTCATCTACATGCACTCTTGCGGACTGTACAAATTCTTCTTTCTTCTTAGGCCACTCAATTAAGGTGACGTGCATGTAGGAATTCTTCTTGGTACAACCCTCATCCACATACACTCTTACGGGTCGTACAATTCTTCTTCTTCTTATGCCACTCAATTAAGGTGACGTGTATATAGGAATTTCTTCTTAACATTCACGGTTCCCCATCACACCAACCTATTCTTTTCTCTTCTTTAACACTTTTTCTTTATTTAATTCTTTAATGCTTATTCTTTCTTTCTTTATTCTTTATTCTTTATTCTTTATTATTTCTTAAGTCTCTACACATACACAAATTATATGCATATGGATGGCTCGTGCTTAAAATTTCTTACTTAAATGCACTTATGAAATACACATATGCAATGTTGCATAAAATTAAGGTTTCTACTCAACTCATACTTCTCTTAGGCATTTCATCAAACAATACTTGTGTATAAACAAACCCTAATGTAATTATCATTCTATTTGTTTCTTAAACCATCCAAATTGAGAGAAAAACTCTCTTGTAACATCACCATACCTACACGTCAAAAACACTCCCAAAAGTTTCTCCAATTCTTCCAATTTCAACCCATCATCAAACCATCACATACACTCCTCATATTCAAGTATATCCAACAACAAGCATAACTAATCATCCATCTCATCTCAATTTCTTAATAATCATAACATATGCATATTTAAAAGAAATCTCTACTCACTTGATTTTCTTAAACTTTAACTTGAGTTGGATTTTGAGTGGAATTTTCTTACCTTATGCTTGAGTAGTCTCTACTAAGCACTCTACTCTTGTTAGATTCAAATCTACTCTTGTTAGATTCAAATCTTCTCTTAACCCTAAGTATAAGCTCCATAAGAACTCAACTTTTACACAAATAAAACATAGATAAAGAGCAAGAATCCATACCTCTTGAAGCCTAAAATCAAAACCATATGAAAAACCACTCAAAAGCCCTCAAAATCCTTAGAGGATTGAATGAAAATTTGAGAAAATGGGGGAGTGTGGCAGTGGAATGAAGAAAATAAGGGTTTCAAACCCTTAACACTTCAATTTATAAACACACTTTCCCATTTTGCCCTTACTCTTTCTTAGAAATTTCATCTGTGTCCCTTAGTCAATTACCATAATGCCCTCATTTTTAATGCATTCTCTATGAAATTCTATCTTTTTTCACTCCTCACATTTTCAACTAATTTTGAGTGAAAAGAGCATTTTACCCTTAATGCAAGTGCAAGGCATTTTCTTCATATTCTCTTAAAATCACTTTAACAAAAATTAACTAAGGGCTACAAAAACATAAATTAAATCATGTATCTCCATGTTGGGCGTTACACTTGCCGTGCGCGAAAGCGAGGTTGCCACTGCACACCAAAAGCGTGCACCCCAACTCTGCACACCACAATTCAAATGGGGATTTTAGAAGCACAACGTAACAGACCCCGACCCTAAATGCGCAAAATTTGATTTTTCACGATTTTCCAAAATTTTAATCTTCGAAAAATCATTAAAAAAAATCTGCTAAACCGAATCACTCCGTTCCTATTGCGTTTCGTTCCTTGCACTTTTCCCCACCACCATGTAAAAAATCAGATCAAAACGGCGACCTACGAAAGGATCGTCCCTTGATGTGCCGAATGCCCCTGCAGTGTGCGAAAGCGAGGTTGCCGCTGCACACCAAAAGCGTGCACCCTAACTTTACACATCATAATTCAAATGGGGATTTTAGAAGCACAATGCAATAGACCCCGACCCAAAATGCGTAGTATTTGATTTTTCACGATTTTCCAAATTTTTAATCTTTGAAAAATCAGTAAAAAAAATCCGGTCAACCAAATCACTCCGTTCCTATTGCGTTTCGTTCCTTGCATTTTTCCCCACAACCAAGCAAAAAATCAAATCAAAACAATGACCTACGAAAGGATTGTCCCTCGATGTGTTGAACGCCCCTATCATGCACGAAAGCGAGGTTGCAGCTGCACACCAAAAGCGTGCACCCCAACTTTGCACACCACAATTCAAATGGGGATTTTAGAAGCACAACGCAACAGACCCTGACCCAAAATGCACAGTATTTGATTTTTCACGATTTTCCAAAGTCTTAATCTTCGAAAAATCATTAAAAAAAATCCACTCGACCTCATCGCTTCGTTCTTGTTGCGTTTTAATCTTCGAAAAATCATTAAAAAAATTCCGCTTGACCTAATTGCTATGTTTCTGTTGCGTTTCGTTCCTTGCATTTTTCCCCACCACCATGCAAACAATCAGATCAAAATGACGACCTACGAAAGGATCGTCCCTCAATGTGCTGAACACCTCTACCGTGCGCGAAAGCGAGGTTGCCGCTGCATGCCAAAAGTGTGCACCCCAACTCTGCACACCACAATTCAAATGGGGATTTTAGAAGCACGACGCAACAGACCCCAACCCAAAATGCAGAGTATTTGATTTTTCACGATTTTCCGAAGTTTTAATCTTTGAAAAATCATTAAAAAGAATCCGCTCGACTAAATCAGTCTGTTCCTGTTGCATTTCGTTCCTTGAATTTTTCCCCACCACCATGCAAAAAATCAGATCAAAATGATGACCTACGAAAGGATCGTCCCTCGATGTGCTGAACACCCCTGCCGTGCGCGAAAGCAAGGTTGCCGCTACACACCAAAAGCGTGCACCCCAACTCTACCCACCACAATTCAAATGAGGATTTTAGAAGCACAACACACTACACCTCGACCCAAAATGCACAGTATTTGATTTTTCACGATTTTCCAAAGTTTTAATCTTCAAAAAATCATTAAAAAGAATCCGCTCGACCAAATCGCTCCATTCCTATTGCGTTTCATTTCTTACATTTTTCCCCACCACCGTGTAAAAAATCAGATCCAGATGACGACCCACGAAAGGATCATCCCTTGATGTACTAAATGCCCCTATCGTGCGCGAAAGCGAGGTTGCCACTGCACACCAAAAGCGTGTACCCCAACTCTGCACACCACAATTCAAATGGGAATTTTAGAAGCACAACGCAATAGACTCGACTCGAAATGCACAGTATTTGATTTTTCATGATTTTCCAAAATTTTAATCTTTGAAAAATCATTGAAAAGAATCCGCTCGACCGAAATGCTCCGTTCCTGTTGCCTTTCATTCCTTGCATTTTTCAACGACCATGCAAAAAATCATATCAAAACGATGACCCACGAAAGGATTGTCCCTCGATGTATCGAACACCCTTGCCGTGCTCGAAAGTGAGGCTGCCACTGCACACCAAAAGCGTGCACCCCAACTCTGTATACCACAATTCAAATGGGGATTTTAGAAACACAATGCAACAGACCCCAACCCAAAATGCACAGTATTTGATTTTTCACAATTTTCTAAAGTTTTAATCTTCGAAAAATCATTTAAAAAAATCCGCTCGACTGAATTGCTCCGTCCCTATTGCGTTTCATTCCTTGCACTTTTCCCCACCACCATGCAAAAAATCAGCTCAAAACGACGACCTACGAAAGGACCGTCCCTCGATGTATCGAACGCCCCTACCATGCGCGAAAGTGAGGTTGCTGCTGCACACCAAAAGCGTGCACCCTAACTCTGCACACCAAAATTCAAATGGGGATTTTAGGAGCACAACGCAATAGACCCCAACCCAAAATGCACAGTATTTGATTTTTCACGATTTTCCAATGTTTTAATCTTCGAAAAATCATTAAAAGAAATCCACTCGGCCGAATCGCTCCATTCCTATTGCTTTTCATTCCTTGCATGTTTGCCCATTACCATACAAAAAATTAGATCCAAACAACGGCCCATGAAAGGATAGTCCCTCGATGTGCCGAACGCCCTTACCGTGCGCCAAGGCAAGGTTGCCGCTGCACACCAAATGCGTGCACCCCAACTTTGCACACCAAAATTCAAATGGGGATTTTAGAAGCACAACGCAACTGACCCGACCCAAAATGCAAAGTATTTGATTTTTCACAATTTTCCAAAGTTTTAATCTTTGAAAAATCATTAAAAAAAATCCACTTGACCGAATTACTCTGTTCCTATTACTTTTTGTTCCTTGCATTTTTCCCCACCACCATCCAGAAAATCAGATCAAAACGACAACCTACGAAATGATCGTCCCTCGATGTGCCGAATGCCCCTTCCTTGTGCGAAAGCGAGGTTGCCGTTGCACACCAAAAGCATGCACCCCAACTCTGTACACCGCAATTCGAATGGAGATTTTAGAAGGACAACGCAATAGACCCCGACCCAAAATGCACAGTATTTGATTTTTCACGATTTTCGAAAGTATTAATCTTCAAAAAATCATTAAAAAAATCCGCTCGACCGAATCGCTCCGTTCTTGTTGCGTTTCGTTCCTTGCATTTTTCCCCACCACCATGCAAAAAATCAGATCAAAACAACGACCTAAGAAAGGATCGTCCCTCGATGTGCCGAACGCCCCTACCGTGTGTGAAAGCGAGGTTGCCGCTGTACACCAAAAGTGTGCACCCCAACTCTACACACCACAATTCAAATGTGGATTTTTTTTTAGTACCTCAACTTGAACCCTTGACCTCAGGGTCAAAATCTAAGTAAAGCTCTGAACCACTTGGACAACTTTATTGTTTTGAGATTGCTCCTGCCTTATTACACGTATCAGTTATTTGTATTTCAAATAACTCCGATTATCCTAAAATTACATCCAATACCATATTTGGATACGAGAGATATGGTTTTGCTTGTGGAATCAAAATTTTAATTTGTTTCCTTAATGAGAAAATAAGCTCCGAAATTTTGATTTTAAGAAAAAGCTTATTTTTTTCTTGAAAAACTCTTTTTTTGGCCTCGTCACAAGCCCCCAAGCTCCTTCAAAACTTTCCCGTTGTATTCTATGTCCAAATCCGTGTGGTTTAAAAAAAAATCACCTCGATCGGATGCCGAATTGCAAAGTTATCGCCCTTCTGAACATTCTACGACAATCCAAACCCCCTAGGGGGTTAATAAAAAAAGGCATTACCTATGGGCGTCATTAGAGTCTTTTCACACTATATAACTCAACCATCTCTCAAGTTCTAATCCCTTCTTCACTCTCCCTCACGCCTCTCACAAACAAACCAGTCCGGCACTCAAACAATAATTTCTCACACTTGAATCGGTAAGTTCCTATTTAGATTGCTGCCTATATATGGTTTGTATAGTTGGTGAAGAAGCCATATGTATATCTTTCCTTTCTAATTGTTTATAACTTTTCCTATTTAGATTGCTTCTTCGTTTGGCTTCTCGAATTAAGAGTTGTTTAGCGAGAGGAGAAATGGATGCTGTGCTTTGTTTATCACTTTCCATTAGGTGAAATCCTTTTCTTTTTATCTGTTAGATTGCATACCTTTGAAACAATATTTTGTAATTATTTGGTGGTGCGACCATTTGGTGCTTTTCTTCTGTTGACAGTGAATGAAATATATGGTTTTCTTGTGTTAACAGTGAATGGAATCATATTTTACATGAATGTAACAAAATAAGGAGAGAGTGGGTAGACAGTTCTTTCATAACTATTAAGATTTCTGATGAATGCATAGGCATTTCTTGATACTTGTGGTGGATTGCTATGATCCAATAGTTAATTAAACCATTAGATCTTTTCTTAGTGGACATGAAGTTCTAAAGTGTTACATATTGCTGTTTGGTGAAATAAATTTTCAAAAGGACACAATTTGGATGGTGGAATGATTGTGCTACCTTTGGGCCCCCATGTAAATAAAACCGGAGACATCTGGCACATGCACATATTGCTGATGGGTTTCTTATATCTTTATCTATGTTTATGGGTTATGTTAATCTTGCTTTTTAATATTCAATGATTAGGTTTCAGTTATATAAATTTGAAACATTTATTATGAATTGAGTTTCCAATATTCTAACATTTGTAATAAAGTTCGAAAAAAGTAACTCAATTAAGAAAATTCTAAGGGCCAACTTTAGTTTAATTGGCAGGAACCATTTTTGTTTAAATTACAAACACCTATTTTACTGGATTATTGTTAATGCTATTGACATACTTCTGTTAGTGTACCACAGGTACTCTGAACAATTACATAGGTATTCAGTCGTGTGAAGATTCTTTTTCTTTTTGACAAATTTTTCTATGAGATTAAAATTTGAAAATGCAAACCTGTCTCCCTCTCTCTGTGTTTCTCATATATGTGTTTTGATGGTGAGCTGATAATGGTACACATTTCAAATTATTTGCAGAAAGATCTTGATGTATATGAAATGAATGTTCGCGCGTTTACAGCTGATGAATCTAGTGAGTTGGATCCAGACATACGTGGCAGCTACTTAGGTTTCATAGAAAAGGTAATACTTTTGTGTATAGAACCAATAAGTTAAGGCACTTCACCCATTATGTAACTAAAGAATGTTGTTTTAGAATATTGTGGCAACTCTGTATCTCCTATTTTGATTCTTCCAACAAATCCCAATAAGTTAAGCAACATCCAATAGATATTTAATCAGCAGGTCTAACTTTGAAATTCTAATGGGTATATAAGGATGTCACAGGCATAGGTGCAGGTGTTAATTGTGGACACAGGATTTAGTTCAGTCACTAAATACAAACAATTAATTGAAATGGGTTATGAGAATGGAAATAGATCCAAACTTGATCCTGCAATGATGTGAGTTCTGGACTGGAAGGTTACGAGTACCCAAGACTTTCAAACTCCTATCAGGATGACATCTGGTTTTAAACTCTCATTGAATAAAAGGAATCAAATTTTGCAAAGGAGAAAGATCTTTGCTCAACTAAATTTTTCTTTGACTATTTGGTTCATCAGAGTTGTGGAATCTTATATGATAAATTTCTTTATTACTTACTCTAAAACGCGAATTTTCCTATCAAAAAGCTGAACTTCTATTTTTTAATTGAAATATTAGTATCCTCCTTTAAGTCACTCAATTGCCTCATGCAATGTTTTGTTTTTTTAAAGTGAATATGATGAACAACCAAGAGGGCTGGTATACCGTAGAAAGGGCAAGGTAAAAAGTGGAGGAATAAGTGCTGACATTTGTGTGTAGAAGGTTAGAGTTTGTTAGAAAGGACAGATGACAGATGGCTTGACAGGAGTGAATATAGGAAGATTCGGTTAGGAGCACAAAAGGTGCCAAGAGTGAATAAAAAACAGAGAGGGGAGAGAAAGAATTATCAAGAAGGAAAAAGTAAATTGGAAGGGAGGCAACTGACCCTCGAAGTTAGTATTTTGGGAGGTGACTGACCCTCGAAGTTAGCCTTTGGGTTCACCATTTTTCTTAGTGTATTTGCTGTATTTTCCCAGTTTATATGCTTATTGAGTACTGATAGGACAAGGCTACTAGAAGTATCTGTTCTGGTTGTAATGATCTGTGTGGGTATTAATATAACTGGGTATCTTCTTATTGATTGTGAGTGTTGGTTGTGTGTTGTGGAATAGCTTGTTGGTATTGCTGGTTGCTTTTATAGGACAGGTTCTATCAATTGGTCTCAGAGAACTGTCGTCTAGGTAATGGTCTTGACAAGGATGAATTAAAGAATGGATAATGTTGAGAGAGAGATTACGAAGTTGGGAGTATAAATGGGTACAATTAGAGAATGTTTAGTAGAGTTGCAGTCTTGGGTGCGACGAAAAGATGAAGAAGAAGCTGGAAGAGCTGAGAGGCGATTATCAGAGAATGTACAATCTCACCAAGATGAAAACCAAAACGGAGCTAGTGGGTCTGGGAACAGTGGTCGAAGCCGCAGTGAAATAGGGGGACGAAAGTTGGAAATGCCTATATTTTCTGGTGAAGATCCGTACGGATGGATATTTAGAGTTGAGCGTCACTTCAATCTCAATGGGGTATCGGAAGAAGGAAAATTAATGGCGACAGCCATTTGTATGGAAGGTGAAGCTATAAATTGGTTCCAGTGGATGGAATCCAGAACTCCGGTAAGCTCGTGGGCCATGTTTAAGTTGGCACTATTGCAATGTTTTAGTGGGTCATAAGAACTCAACCCATACGAATCCTTAATGGCAGTCAAACAAAATGGTTCAGTCATGGAGTTCCGTCGCCAGTTCAAAGCAGTTGCAATGCTCTTGATGGGGGAGAAAGAAGAGATATTACAAGCAGATTTTGTGAATAGGTTGAAGGTGGAGATTAGGGCTGAAGTCAGATTGGCCCAACCAAATTCCTTAATCCAATTTATGGAATTAGCCCAACGAATAGAAGACAGAAATCGGGCTTTAGAAGAAGCCCAAGTGGGATCACATAAGGCTTCACGCACATTTGGGCCTAGGCTGTTTGAGCCTAACCCGACTAGCCTGACCCAATTTGAACCTAACCCAACTAATCCTAAATTTTGCAATTCAACTGAATCCCTAAAAACACATTTCACGTCCCATTTCAATCGTCGATCACCAAAATCCTCCATGCAAGGTTCTTCGACCAATTTTTCCACTCGCGACCAATCGACGACATCCTTCCGGCCGTTCGAATGTCAGAACTTCCAATGGCGAGACTTTCCATTCCATCGAATGATAGATACAGAGATCCAGAGGAAACAAGAGAAAGGGATTTGTTTTAAGTGCGATGGGAAGTATTCTATTGGGGACAAATGTGGGGAGAAACAATTTCAGATCATTTTGATTGACGATGAGGAAGATGACCCAGATCCGATGAGGAGTGGAGATACTGTCGAAATAGGAATGGAGCAACAGCAGGAAAATGTGGAACTTTCTCTTAGTTTAGTAGTGCCAAGGTCTGAAGACAATGAAGCTAAAAGGGAAGAATCCAAGGTAAGGAAATGATTGTGTTGGTTGATAGTGGGGCTTTCCACAACTTTATTAGTTAAATGGTGGTTGAACAATTGGGAATACCAGTGGTGGGGACTCAATCGTTCGGGGTCAGAGTAGGTGACGGGTATAGTGTGAGGTGTGAAGGAGAATGTGGGGATATATGTTTGGAGTTACCTAGGGTAACGATTGTGTAAACTTTTTTCCCATTTGATATGAGCAGTGCTGATGTAGTCCTAGGTATTGCATGGCTTGAGACTTTAGGCGAGACTGCTACGGATTGGAGAAAACAAACTATGAGGTTCATGATGGGAAACCAGGCTATTTGTCTGTATGGGGACCCGTCTCTTAGCAAAACAATGGTATCCCTCAAGGCGATGATTAAGGCTCTGCAGAATGAAGGTCAAGGTTGTTTGATAGAATTTGGGCAGATACAGAGTCAGTGTGAACAGATGGGGAGTATTGATGATAGACTGTTGGAGGTCTTGGACAAGTTTAGCCGAGTCTTCGAGCCACTTCCGAGGTTACCACCTGTCCGGTCAAAAGATCATGCCATTCAGTTAATTCTGAGAGCACAACCACCCAACCTCAGGCCATACTGGTACCCGTATTACTAGAGAAATGAAATGGAGTGTATTGTCAAGGAAATGTTAACTTCAGGAATTATAAAACCTAGCATGTAACAACTTCTTTCTACTATCATATTCATAAAATATATCAATAAAAAGACAAGTATATTTATTAAAAAGGTTGGGTGCAAAAATTTTCTTTACTTAATAAATACATTCTTTACATAGTACAACATCATTTGTACAAAAAGACTAAAAAAAAAAAACAGTGGACAGTGCAGTCAATTCTTCCCGCTTGCCGACATCCATCCGACCACACCCTCACCTATGTCCTGTACAACAAAGAAAACAACGGAGTGAGCACAAATATGCTTAGTAAGTAAATCTTCTACTATATAATCCCCGTGCATTACTCATAAATTCTTTTCGTACTCTTGTCACTTTCTCTAATTCTAGTTCTCACTCTTCCTTTCTTTCTTTCTATTCTCATTACCCATGGAGAATATCATAACCATGCATGGACGAGACACTAAAGCATAACAATGCATTTTCTTTCTTTTCTTTTCTTTCTATTCTTTTCTTATTCTTATTCTTTGTCGGTCTTGGTCGATGCATGGATTCAAAACCCTTGACCATGTAAGTGTACTCTCTCTCGTGTATAGTTCTTATCCGCATGTATTCTCACGGCTATACAAATTCTTTTTCTCATTCTCATTCCGCTCTCTCATGGCGGAGACTGCTATCTCTCATGGCGGTTTACATGCGGGTAACTCTACACTCACGGGTTCCCCATCGCACAACCTATTTTCTTTTCTTTTCTGTAGCACTTAATATTCATTTTATTCTCTAGTGCTAATTCTTTCTTTCTCTTTATTCTAAGAGAATTGGTTCTTTTCTTTATCTCTATTCATAGAGTGTTTCTTTCTCATTTCTCGTATTTCTTTCTCATGTGATTACTCAATTAAACAGATGCATAAGGATGACTCATGCCTAAAATCTTTCTTATATGCATTCATGAAATGCAAATATGCTATGTTGCATAAAGTAAGGTTCTCTACTTCTACTCATGCTTCTTTTAGGCATTTCATCAAACAATATGTGTGCATACATAAACTCTATTCTAACTTTAATTATACTTCTTTCTTAACCATCCAAAATTGGAGTTCAACTCCTTTAAATCATCACACATCCTGCAAAGAAAACACACTTCAAATATTCCTCTCAAATTCTTCTAATTCTCTCCATACTTCTACCAAAATTTATCAACACAATCCACCCTACTCATGGTGGAAATTCCTTCATAAAACAACATTGAACTCATTCATGAAGTCATCAACTCATTTCAAACATAAAAATTCAAGCATTAATCATATATAAGATCTCTACACATCATTTAATCATGCAAATCACAACTTAGGTGGATTTACTTACCTTAGGCTCAAGTAGAATCCACTTAAGCTCTCTACTCTTAATGGCTTGATACTTTCTCTTAAACCTTCAATACAAACTCAATAAGGATCCTACTCTTTCAACCATAAAAATTCACATCTAAAGTAAGGATTCTCACCTTTAAGTGCTTAGGATCAACTTGTATCAATTTCTAGTCAAAAGCTCTTCAAAGATCCTTGGAAAATTGAATGAAAGTTTGAGAGAATTGAAGGATGAAAGAGGCGGTGGAGAAGAATCAATGAAAGGGTTTCTAAAGCTAAACCCTTAATATCTCATATTTTCTCCACTCTTTCCCAATATACCCTTGCTCCTTCTTTGAAATTCCACCTATGACCTTTAATTCTTTGCAAAAAACCTCCCCATTCACACTATTCTCCATGCAATTTCCTTGCATTTCACTTTCCACTTTTCCTGCTAATTAGGGGTAGAATGGTCATTGAGTCCCAAAAGGAAGAATTCTCTAAAACTCAAGGGAAAATTTCAGCCGAGTCTTCACCGCGGCGAAGCTTCTTCTTCGCCCCGGCGAAGACTGTAACATCAAGATTTCGCCAAGTCTTACAAATTTTTAGGGCAACCACTCAACCAAACCATATTAACAACATACAGACTCAAATGAGGATAAATCAATAAGCATTCAAGCCATTCATCAAATCTTAACTACGTACCTCAAGTGGGGCGTTACATAGCATCAGTCCGTTCTCCAGCCCTGTTTTATTGGTGAAAAAGGAAGATGGAGGGTGGCGATTCTGTGTAGACTATCGGGCAGTTAACAAGTGACAATTCCAAATAAATTTTTGATTCCCGCTATCGACGAATTGTTTAATGAGTTAGAAGGAGCAATGGTATTCTCTAAACTCGATTTGAAGTCCGGCTATCATCAAATCCAAGTGAGACCCAAAGACACCCACAAGACTTCTTTTCAAACACATGAAGGGCACTATGAATTTCTCGTAATGCCTTTTAGCCTTACCAATGCACCGGTAACTTTTCAGGCAATCATGAATGACGTATTCAGACCCTACTTAAGAAACTTTTTATTGGTATTCTTCGACGATATACTGATTTACAGTCTGGAGATGGACGAACATGTGAAGCATTTAAGCATTATTTTGCAGGTATTGTTGGAAAATTAGCTGGTGGTAAATCAAAAGAAATGTCAGTTTGGGCAGCTCCATTTAGAATATTTGGGACATATAGTATCAGCTAAGGGTGTGGCCGTGGATCCCACAAAAATTGACAGCATAACTAAATGGCTAGAACCAAAGGACATCAGGGCACCAAGAGGATTTCTTAGGCTAACAGGATACTACTGCCGCTTTGTGCGCAATTATGGTAAAATAGCTCTTCCTCTCATTGGCCTATTAAAGAAATATTCTTTTGTATGGAATACAGTAGCTCAGCGGGCTTTTGAAGAGTTAAAACAGATCATGACCAGTGTCCCTGTCCTACGGATGCCAAATTTCACTCAGGAATCTATTATAGAGACTGATGCCTCGGGCAATGAATTAGGGGCTATGTTGATGCAAGAAGGGCGGCCTATTGTATTTCTCAACAAAGGGTTATCTCTAAAGTCTAAACTGAAATCAGTCTATGAGCGGGAATTAATGGCTATTTGTTGGCTATGCAAAAGTGGCGTCATTACCTCCTGGGAAGACATTTTGTTATCCGGACAGATTAGTGGAGTCTCCATTTCTTAACTGACCAGAAACTATTAAGTGAAAGTCAGCAAAAGTGGGTTATTAAACTATTGGGACTAGATTTTAGTATCCAATATAAGCCTGGATCGCAAAATAAAGCAGCAAACACTCTTTCCAGAATGCTTGATACAGTTGAGCATCATGCTCTGTCGGTGGGTTGTTTTTCCGGCCTAAACAGCTTAGAAGATGTAGTCCAGCAAGATGCCCGATTACGTGGAATAATACAATAGCTCCTGAATGACCCGAATAGCCACTCTCATTTCAGATTAGTGGGACGCCATCTGCTATAACATAACAGGTTGGTGTTGCCTAAATCGGGGCCTCACATCCAAAAGATACTACATGAATTTCATACTTCACCTATTGGGGGCCATTCGGGGTTTTTTCAGACATATAAGCGGCTCTCGAATGTGGTGTTTTGGGAGGGAATGAAGAAAGATATCAAGGAATTTGTAGCTGCTTGTTGCGTCTGTCAACAGAATAAATACGACGCATTAAGTCCAGCAGGCCTGCTTCAGCCTTTACCTATTCCTAACCAGGTATGGTAGGATATCTCCATGGATTTCATTATAGGGCTACCCAAAGTGAATGGGGTTGATACTATTCTGGTTATGGTCGATCGTTTACCAAAAACTGCCATTTTTTCACTCTTAAACACCCGTACACAGCCAAAGTGGTAGCAGATCTGTTTATCAAAGAAGTGGTCCAGTTGCATGGGCTTCTCCAAAGCATTGTTTCAAATAGAGATAGAGTTTTCATGAGCAACTTTTGGATTGAATTATTCAAACAGTCTGGAACCCATTTACACATGAGTTCAGCCTACCATCCGCAAATGGATGGCCAAACAGAAGTGGTAAACCGTTGCTTGGAGACACACCTCAGGTGCTTTGTCAATAGCCGCTCACAATAGTGGCCAAAATGGGTACCATGGGTAGAATTTTGGTTTAACACCACTTATCATAGCTCCGCGGGCATGTGTCCCTTTAAGGCTCTTTATGGCCGTGAACCTCCAACAGTGTTACGATATGTGGACCAGACTTCACCAGTTGAAGAAGTTGACCAACAACTTCAACAAAGAAACCACATTATTGAAGAGTTAAAGGCTAATCTTCTTAAGGCTCAAAACCGTATGAAGGTGTATGCTGATCGCCATCGCCGAGAGGTTACATTTAAGGTAGGAGAATCTGTCTATTTGAAGTTACAACCATACAGATTACGCTCTTTAGCTTGTCACTATATTGAAAAGTTGAGCCCACGGTTTTACTGTTCGTTTGTAATCACGGACAAAATTGGGGCTGTAGCATACAGGCTGGCACTACCTTCTTTAGCTCGTATTCACGAAGTTTTTCATGTTTGACAACTGAAAAAAGCAATGTTCCCAATAGCAAACCTTTACTGGCAGCCCTCAACGAGGATTTAATTCTACAACTTGAACCTAAAGCAGTCCTCAAAAAAAGGAAACTTCTGAATGGACAGTGGGAGGTGCTGATTCACTAGAAAGGATTACTGTCCTATGAAAACACATGGGAGGATTTTGACATTATCCACCACCAATTTCCTTCGTTCCACCTGGAGGACAAGTTGGTTCTGCTTGGGGAGGGTAATGATGAACAACCAAGAGGACTAGTATACCGTAGGAATGGCAAGGGTAAAACGTAGAGGAATAAGTGCTGACATTTGTGTGTAGAAGGTTAGAGTTTGTTAGAAAGGACAGATGATAGATGGCTTGACAGGAGTGAATATAGGAAGACTCGGTTAGGAGCACAAAAGGTGCTAGGAGTGAATAAAAAATAGAGAGGGGAGAGAAAGAATTATCAAGAAGGAAAAAGTAAATTGGAAGGGAGGCAGCTGACCCTCGAAGTCAGTATTTTGGGAGGTGACTGACCCTTGAAGTCAGCCTTTGGGTTCACCATTTTTCTTAGTGTATTTGCTGTATTTTCCCAGTTTATATGCTTATTGAGTACTAATAGGACAAGGCTACTGGAAGTATCTGTTCTAGTTGTAATGTTCTGTGTGGGTATTAATATAACTGGGTATCTTCTTATTGATTGTGAGTGTTGGTTGTGTGTTGTGGAATAGCTTGTTGGTATTACTGGTTGCTTTCGTAGGACAGGTTCTATCAGAATACCATATTTTGTTCATTTGTGAACATAGTTGATAATCCCGTGGATAGTAGGCTCACTCTAGATTTCTATATAATGTGAGAAATTTGACCATTGAATCTAAAAATAAACAACATAAGTTCTAAAATTTTCCAACTTTGTTATTCTTTTTTCCTGTGTGCCAACTTAACCCTAGTCAATTCGCAAGGGCAAATCTCTAGTGGAAATTTTTGCAATCCTGTGGCCTAAATAGATTGATCGGTAGGAAGATGAAGAATTAGCTAAATAGATATGTCAAGATTTGTTGTGGATGACTATAGCACTATTTCATGAACAAAACTTTGCATTTATGTTATTTTCTTTTTAATTATGAATAAGTAAGCCTAAGTTGGGCTGCTTGGAATTCACACTTCTGTCTTCACGGTTTCGGGAGGAATTCATAGTAATAAGAGTATAAACTTGAATAGGTCAAGTTGTTACATAATTCACTCATTCATTCATTGTTTTCTTTTCCATTATTGTTTCCCATGATCCAAAACTATATAAAATATAATGTTAATAACAAAAAGCATCCTCTCATATGCATAAAATATGGTAGGATTCTATTTATCTGTTTCCTGAATTTTGTGTAAACATATGACTCAGTCCAAAGTTCTCTGTACCAAGACTTTTACTGAAGATTCTGTATGGTAATTGATCATATTGCTATTATAAGATTCTGTACCACCTTATGCTGTACAAATTTGTCAACCCATTTAATTATGTCAATTTATGTATGCTGTGTTATTTCAACCCACCTATTTGCATTTTTCTTTTTATTATAAGATTCTTGTGCAGTAATGCTTTTTAAGATTCTTTCCATGTGTATAGATAGCTGTACCAAATGAATGAATACAATTTTGAATGCACTTCACCATAATTCCGCAATTTTAATCCCGGTACTATGTATTGCTAGAGAACAAGAATTTCTTTTTAAAGCTTATATCAACATCTAATTGCTTCGTTGACATTTATCCTATGCTTTATCTAGATTTTCGTCATTTTGCTTGAGAATTAAAAATTCGATAACATAATTGTATCTTCATGTCTTCACACGATAACTACATCCACTGCTCACTCTTAGTACTTGAAATAAGATGTCATCAGTAGTTTACAGCATACTCAAAGTTGTCCAGCTTTGAACAAATATATTGAATGTTTCAGCTGAATTTGTTTTCCAATTTTTGTTTGTTTTAGGAATGGGTGTTGGGATTGAAACATGTTCTACAATATCGTTTGTTTACTGGTATATTATCATTAATATTGTGTGTTTACAGGTAGTGCTACCCAAACATGTCAAATGCATGTATTGAAGATGCAAAAGAAATCCAAAAGTGATGTCGAATGCATCGGTCTTGTTCCCAGTATCGACACAGGTTTTCGTCAACCATTTCTATAGAACACACTGCAATCTAAAGCAAGGACAATGAGATATGTGAAAAGACCGGAGTAACATACTGCAACTTATAATGGGATCATTGATATCTCTCAGAGAATTAGAAACATCACCTCAACTGCTGCTCTAAACTTATAAAATGTCCACCTTTTTTTGTCATCAAAACTTATATACTCTATAGTTGTAAAATGTTCACTATTTTTTATATTCTATATTTATAAATTAAGCCGCTTTTTGGTAATCTTCTCTTATTTCGTTTCTCATTTCTCAAGGACAATATTTAATTGGTCCCCAATTTTTTGTATATATTGTTGAGGAGCTTCCATCTTCAGGCAAGTAATATTGCATTGGCTATATACCACCCGATCCCACTTTCCTGTACATAATATTGCATACCAGGCATATCAATAGGAGTCTTACATGTTATTGCAATGAAATTAATTCAGATATCTTGAATATGATCATAGGCATAAATATTTTTTACATACGAAGAAGCGTCGTCTCATCATTGCCCTCTTCTTTTGAAGACCTACAGTTTTTGGCACTCTTTGCATCAGGGCATAGACTGAAAAATTCTAATACTACTATTGTGGCCTATAATTTTACACCTATAGCATAATTATGCAACCCTAATCCCCACATTCTCTAAATAATTCTATAAAAGGCCCCAAAATCAAACAAACTACAACTTCTATGGCAATTCAGTTCTTGGTTCACATAAAATACTTTTATTCTAGGTAGAAGAATAAGTGACAATATTATGCTTGCACAAGATATCTTCTGCAATTATCATAAAGATAAAGGGGTTGCCCGATGCTCGTTTAAGGTTGACATACAGAAAGCTTATGATAGTGTAATTGGAGTTTCCCGATTCATATTCTTGGTAAGTTTGGTTTCCCTCCTTGAATGATTCAGTGTATCTGTGAATGTGTGACTATTGCGTCCTTCTCTGTCTTTGTTAATGGTGAGCTCCATGGATTCTTCCCTAGGAAGAGAGGACTTAAGCAAGGGGATCCTCTCTCTCCTTATTTGTTTACGATAGTTATGCAAGTTCTCACTGCACTGGTTTGTAGTAAAATTGAGGGGAATGATGGCTTCAAGTACCATTTAGGTGCGAGAAGCTAAATCTTAGTCACATTTGTTTTACAAATGATCTGTTTCTTTTCTGCCATGGAGATACTTATTTGGTTTCGATCATTAACGATGCTCTTTCAGACTTTCCTCAGGTCTTTGGGTTAAAGCCCAATCCCTTGAAAAGTGCTATGTTTTTTTGCAATGTCAAGGAGGAGATTCGTACTCAGATTAGAGACATTATGGGTTTTTCTGAAGGTTATCTCCCTGTTAGATATCTTGGGGTTTCGTTGATTACCGCAAGGCTTAAGCACAATGATTGCATTCCTTTCATTGAGAAGATGAAAAAAAGGTTGAAGTCATGGAAGAATAAGTTCCTTTCCTATGCTAGGAGGCTTCAGCTTGTTATCACTGTCCTCTCCTCTATGCAAGTTTATTGGGCATCCCTTTTCATTCTCCTGAGTTCTGTGACCAAAGCTTTGGAAAAACTGATGAAGAGCTTCCTTTGGTTAGGGAATGAGCTTGTTAATGGTAAGGTTAAAGTTGCTTGGAAGGATTTATGTGTGCCAAAGGCAAATGGGGATTTAGGCATTCATCCTCTGAAAGGATGGAATTATTCTTATGATCTTCCATCTTTGGAGTGTTATGGTTAATAAATATTCGTTATGGGTGAAATGGATTAACACATTTCAGTTAAAAGGTAGGAGTTTTTGGAATGTGAAGGTGTCGTGGGATGCTAGTTGGAGTTGGCGGAAGATTCTCAATTTAAGGGATGAGGTTTGAACCACATTGGGTCCCAGTTGGGTAGTGGGGCTTCTATTTTTTTGTGGCATGATAATTGGCATCTTCTTGGTCCTTTGGATGGAATTATCCCTAAGAGATTGATCTATGAGGCTAGAATGAGCCTTAGGTTAGTGAGATTATTCTTAACAGGCAATGGAATTGGCTAGAGGTAATTTCTGATAGATTCTCCCAGGTTGTTAATCAGTCTCCTTCAATCCCTACTGCTGTTAATAGAGATGAGATCTTTTGGAGGACAAAGGTAAACTGGTGTGCTTTTCTGTGAGATAAGCTTGGTAGGACTTGTCCCCAGGTGGCTTCAAGGTCTCTTGGCATCATCTTCTATGGTTTGGTCAGAACATTCCTCTCTACTCTTTCATTCTGTGGCTAGCTATAAAAGGTAAATTACTTACACAAGACTGGATGAGGAGGTGGGTGACTACGACTTGCATGGAGTGCGCTCCTTGTAATGGTTTTATGGACTCCCATGACCACCTTTTCTTTGCATGTCCTTTTGACGTAAGCTCCAAGATAAGATAAGGGTAAGTTTAGAGTTTCTGTGGGAGATTGGCAAAGTTCCATTGACTGGTGTGCATGTAATCTTAAGGGCAACAAAAGCTACATCTATTATTTGTCACCTCCTTATAGTTGCTATGATTTACTGGATCTGGAAAGAGCGAAAATTGCGGCTTTTTAATAGTGACAAACACAGCCCCCAGTGGGTTGAACTTCAAATCATGTTAGCGGTTAGACTCAGGTTGGTTTTAAGTTCAAGAACATTGTGCATGTCCACAATTTATTGGAGGAATGGGGTATGTCTAGATGCTACTTTGGTGAGAAATATAGGGATCATTCTTGCATCCTGTAGTTGTGGATTTTTTGTTGGTTATTGGTGTGTTATGATGTCTGCCTTTTGGGAGACTTGGGGTTATGACGGGGATGGTATGATTGTTTGGAGGTGTTGCGTTGTTTTGCTTCTCAAAAAGCCTTATGGAGATTTGTTTAGGTTTCTAGGTAGGTTGTCTGTGTCTTGAAGGCTCCTCCTTTTTTCGCTTGCTGCCAGCCTTTTGCTTGCTGGTTAGTGTCAGCTGGGTGGGTCTTTGGGTGGTGATGATTGATTTGTCTGGGCAATTTGAGTTTCTATTTTGCTTGTATATGAAGCTGCTGACTTCTTCGCCTAATGCTGACTCCTTTCTCTGCTCTCTTGTTGTTTTTGTTGGTTATCTTATGGTTCTGAGGGCCTCAGTGTGGACTGTGGACTGTTTTGTATAGGCGTTCTTGTCTCTTGCCTTTTCTTTGGATTCAGGAATTTGTTTTGGTTTGTAAATCCCGTCTTGTTTTGCTGTTTTCTTTTGAGCCTCTTTGCCTCTTGCTAATTGCTAAGGATGAAGTGTTGGGGTTTTTCTCTCTTACTTGTAATTCATTATTCTTTTTGTGAACCTCTTACCAAATATATATATATATATATATATATATATACTCACTGCCATGCAAAATTTTTATTAGCTAATCAAACAGCAACGAATCACGACAATTTATATTTTTCCACCATACAACCTAAATATACACATCTCACTAAAATTGCAAAATTTCACCTTAATAATAAACTAAACTGGAGTAAGAAAACAACATAATAAATTTTTTGACACCATACTTGCAATCCTCATCCACATTGATAATCATGAAACACTATTCATTTTATGTACACATCTCAATTAGTTTCGAGTGGTTGCAAACTATGAATCATCTGGAAATTTACGAGTAAAGACCAATCTGGTTCCAAACATCACTTAAAGCTCCACCAATTTCATTATATGATTGCTTGGAATGAAGGCAGAACATCAAATACATACAGAGGCTTCCATTCTTTAACAAGAATAGACACATCTTCAAAATCTCTTCAAAAGTTTGTAGTATTTTGGTACTTCCCCACGCAAACCATAAAAACTATACAGCTAATGATCATATATCGAACCTGACGTAGTGAGTTAGCGTGATAAACAAGGCTAGCAGACGACTACACCTTTAGAACTAATAACACAAGTCTCAATCTAGAAACTTAAACTGCAAAATCTGAAGTAAAAACTGAATAATTTATTGAATAACATCCAAAATGAAAAATAAGTTTATATAGGGTGACAGCTGTTAGGGCTAAAAATCGTCCTTGGCCCAAATAAGAAAACGAGACCGAATGAGAAAGAGACCAGGCCCAATCCCGACGCAGCCCAATCCAGATTAGGCCCATCTGGTACGAGATATAGTTAGCCCAAACCACCTGGGCCCAAGCCTCCTAATCCTAGTCCACTTCCTGGACATATGAGCAAGTTCAAAGCCCACGGACATCCACTGATCACTTTCTTATTCGAGATCACTTCCCTATTCGAGATCACTTTCCTGTTCGAACACTGGTAAGACAGCTCATCACCGCCTAATTCCTCTAGGGTTCGTGTCAGAGTCACACTAGGATTCCCTCTCACTCCAGGATAAGGGGGTCAAAGGGCGTATCCCTGGAGGAAAGGGATTGCTACCAGAACTCCCAATCCCACCAGAATTGGGAGACCAGACAATCACTATATAAACAAAGGCCAACCCTCTTACAAGACACATTATACTACACCTTCACACCCGGAGTTCCTACTTGAGACCTTTATATCACTGTCGTAGTCACAATCCCCGACTAGACTTCTGGTAACTTCTCTACTCCCTAGCCCTCACTAAATTAGCCTCTTTTAGCCTTACTGACTTAAGCGTCGGTGTGCCTACGGCGAGCACCACCCCGGTGTTTTCCGTCACTTCATGCATTTGTTTCTCTACGTGTGCAGGTGCAGCGGATTACTAGTGGCCTCAACCTCATGGGATCAGACCCCCTTTCCATACAGGTAGATTTTTATGTCTATAACAGCCAACCCTAATAAGACTCATAATAACAAAGGAAACAAAAACTAAATTAATTAAAACAAGAAAACTCGAAATAAAATAGGAAAAAACGTGCGAACAACTAAAACAACCATGAAACACGCCAAAACGGTGGATTTTGACCTAAAAAACGGCCTCCAATCAATTAACATTGATGGGCTCGAAATAAGCTTTCCAACGGTATCTTACGGGCCCTGTAACGCTTCCCGCATCAAAAGTATAGCCGTTTGAATGGGGCATGCTCATTTAGCATCTTTGGGCTTTACGCATGGACTTTTGACATTAAGACTACTCCATGAATTCATTAGCCAGATATTCTACGTCAGTCCCCTTCACTTAAGAAAAACTCAACCTCGAGTTGAGTTAGGCATCGG